AAAAAAAAAAAGATGCAAAAGTATCACAGAATGGTTCCATGTGATACGAGCCATATTCCAAGTGTTCTGGGGGCCATATTATAGGGTTTGGTGAAAATCAATCCGAAAGTGTTATTTAACGAAAATCCTGACATTGGCCGTTAGTCTTATGTGCACGACTGCACATTCATGAAACTCATACAATTCACCCCGAAAAAAGTGCACAATTTGGAGAAATCAAGATCAATAAAGGCACAAAATGAAATACAATGTCTAGAAATACCAAAGAAGTATCCATGCAGTTTCTTCACTGAGTTGACTGGAACTCTGGTTGTTAGATGACAGTCAGAATGAAAATTGGCAGATGTGAACACGATAACTTGTTGTGATGAACACAACAGATATATTCACCTCAGAGAAGAAAGTGCCGCAATGTTAAGTCAGTAAAAATGAAACTAACAGAACATAACTTGACAGTATGTCCCCTCCCGGAAGGCGCGACCTCACGCCGTAACAGAAGCGATGAGGTGGGAAGAGAGAGAAGAGGTGGGGGCTTTGGAGGAGGACACGGAGCAGGAGAAGGGGTGGTGCGCAAAGTGCAGCCAGGATGATTGCCCATGGCAAAGTAGATGGAAGGAGGAGCCATGGTGGAGGAAGTGGCTGACGAGAGCTCAGAGCGACCCAGGAGACAGCCAGGAGGAAGGCAACCCACGGCGGAGCTGAAGGAGGGAGGAGCCATGGTGGAGCCCTGCTGGGGTTGCTAAGTGAAACCATGGAAATGACTGGCCGAGGTGGAGCAGGTGGAGGTGGAGACACAGGCGGAGCCGAAGAGCTGCAGAGACCAAGCGATAAAGAAGGTCCTGGAGACCGAGGTGTAGCCACAGTGATGAGTGGCCAAGGTGATCCCAGGGAGCCGGAGGGAAGGAGGAGCCTGCCAGAGCCAAAGGGGTGGAGGGACGAGTACCTGTAAGTCCGTGGTGCAGGCAGAGTGATGACTGACCAAGGCAGAGCCGGAGGGACAAGGAAACACGGTAGAGCTGGAAGGATGATGTCCCATGGTGGAACCGAGGAACTGAGGAGCCAAGGCGGAGCCAAATGGTTGATGGGCTCCACGGGTCCACACTCCATGGCGGAGCTAGGGACCAGAAGCCCCAAGGCGGATCAGGGCTGCATGGCAGGACTGATAGTGGAGCTGAGGGGCTGGAGGGCGCCAGCGGAGGTGGAGCCGAGGGAATGTCTGGCTTCAGTGGAGCGTGCAGGAGAGGAAGGCTTGGTAAGGAAGCAGGCTCAGTGATGAACAGGGCTGGTGACAACAAAAATCACACTGTGATGGACAGGACTGGTGGTGATGAAGAACATTCAGTGCTAGATGTGACTGGTGACGAAGACTCTGAGCTGGACCAGCAACGACAAAGACACAGTGCAGGAAGGGACCAGTGGCAGAGAAGGTTCGCGGGTGGGAAGCAATATTTCCGTTTCCCAATCAGTTAGCCATTCCTCTGTATCCAGCTCCACCAATATACCCGCCGGCATGGATGTTGTAGTCTGTGGTGGGCATAAGCTGGATCTCCCGGTCTGCGGTGGGCTCAGGCTCCTTATCCGCCATGGGTGAGGGCTCTGGGTCTGACTCTGTGTGGTCCACAGGAGGATCTTGGGCAGGCAGGGTTGGGATGAGTATATCTGGTTCAGAGCAGGCTTCTTCCTCTACAATTAGTGGACTGCCCACCAGACATAGAGCATACTCGATGTATTCAAATAATTCGCAGTTGCTGTTCCCTACCAGCATGATTTGAAGCTGTTCATCATGAAGCCGCTACAAAAGTGTATCTTAATAGTGCACTCGTTCCAACTAACCTGATGGCACTCAGTCCTCAACATAATCCTCCAGTGGCCATCCTCCTTAATGTAAGGCCAGGAGTTGCTCTACAATATAGTCCATTATTCTCATTTGTGTTGGTCCGGTGTTCTGTAACGTTAAGCCCAAGGAAGATGAAGAAAGTTCAAAAACAGATCAAATAAAACATGTTTTTTTTAGAAAACAACAGAAGGTAATCCAAATAACAAGCCAAGCTACTGTCAGTGTGCACAATACACAAACAATTCCGGACACTGAGCACTGAACCAGGAGGAACTTAAGTAGTCAAGGTGATGAACAAGTTACAGACAGGTGTGATTGTTAATGAATGACCATGGTAATGGAAAGTGGTGGGAAACTAGAACAAAGGAACAGGAAAGTGATAAGTAAAATCCATGAAAATGAAACTTAACAGAGCATAACTGGGACAAGTACATAGATTGTACTTTGTGTCGTGTTTTTATTAATCTTGATTTCTTGTGTGCTTTTCCTGGTTGAGTCGTAGTGAACTGCTGTGCTAATCTCATGAATGTGCAGCCATGCACAGAAACCAACAGCCAAGTTCAGGATTTTTGTTAAATAATACATTAAATTTTGGTTTGTTTTTCACCAAACCTTATCTTATATCCCCCGAACACTTGGAATATAAGGCACTTGTCGCATGGGACCACTTGGTGATACTTTTGCATCTTTTTTTTTTTTTTGTAAAGCTTGATGCTGATTGTTATCCACTGCCATTATATAGATGACTGCAAGCAGGAATAGAAGGAAGGGGATACAGCATTAGAACAACACCAGGGTGAATACATTATGACTTCATTTTAATTTTTAGGTAACCTTTAGGTAATTTAGGTATTTTCCTCTGGAAATAAACAGAGGAAATCAATATACAGACAGTCAAAACACTGTAACTCTCTGCACAAAATTACTAAAAATGCATTGCATTAAATTAAAGATGCCTTCAGTATTTCTAGAAGGGAATAGTTGGTAAATAATGTGCATGTCTTAGAATATTCTGAATATGCTGAGTGCATTACATATAGATATATTCCAGTAGCTGGAGATCAGAAATGATGTGCATGTAAACATGTTCTGTGTCTTTTTAATTTTATGACAGAAACAAAAGCAGATTTGGAGGAGTTGATGACAGATATCAAGAAGTTGGCTAATAAATTACGCTCCAAGTTAAAGAGTGAGTCCTTCGTCCTCAACAACACACGTTGCAACCAGTTACATGTTGAAGCATTAAAGAATCAATTGCCTCTCTCTTCACCTGCCAGTCACAGTCGAATCAATGTCCTACAGACTAGCTTACTTCAGTTTGAATGTGATAGACTGTAGTGAAATAAATATATATATTATAAATAGCCAGAAACGTAATAGGCAGTCAGTCTAGTGACAATAACATTGTCTGATATGAGCACTCAAGCTTCAGCTGGTTCAAAATGCAGCAGCTAATTTAATAACCCTACCGGACGTCCTCCCAGTAGTGCGTTGCAATAATCTAATCTTGAGGTCATGAATGCATGAATAAGCTTTTTGGCATTAGAAATAGAGAGCAGTCCATATCATTTGCATTTACTATAATTCACTATTGTTCCATAATATGATGAAGTGATTAGTGATGTGTCTTGTAAATGCTCACCGTAACATCATGACACTGATTCCAGAGGATTTGGAATAACTTTGGTATTATTTATTTATCTTTACTCTCTTTAGCACTAGTAAATAATTAACCACAGTGATTTTTTTTTTAGATATCCAGCAGACCATAGAGCAGGAGGAGGCACTAAACCATTCAAAACATCCATCAGCTGATCTGAGGATACGGAAAACACAGGTCAGAGGGGTTGGACACGACTCCATTACAACCTGTTACTCACTGATGACTGGCAGATATGTTGGTGTGTGTACATTAATATAAGAGGTTTCTGTTTTTCAGCACTCCACCCTGTCACGTAAATTTGTGGAGGTGATGACGGAATATAATGCAACGCAGTCAGATTACAGGGAACGCTGTAAAGGACGGATACAGAGACAGCTGGAGATCAGTGAGTAAACACACACTCTGGTAACACTTCAGTTTAGGGACCAATTCTCACTATTAAATAGTTGATTATTAGCATGCATTTTACTACACTGTTACATTTTTTTGTGTGTGAAAATACAGTATATTCCAGGTTAATAATTGCATTACTTTCACCGTAATTTCACAGTGGCACTTCTCTTGTATTCTTGTGAACAAACAGCATCATACTGTGTTTCTACAGTGCAGATTTACTCTGAAGGCACCCAGCATGCAATGCAGCACGAATAAATCATGCTGTAGAGTTTTTTCATTCTTGTTGGTTTTATTTGTGCCGTTGAACTTGTTTTTGGTTCACTTTTAGCAGTTTGTGGTGTTGGTTTGTGTTTAGTATGTTGAGTTTTGATGTCACATCTTTCAAAGAAGTGTCTCTGAAGTTGCTTCATTCTCGTGAAAGATCCGTCCACAAACAGTTATGCATATGAAATAAGTTATTCATCTTCATGCTTAAATAATGCTAAAATAAAATCGTCATGTTCATGCTAAGAATAGTTTGACTATCTTAAAATCACTTCATATTCTGGTTTGTCATCATTTTAATAAATGTCTTCATTTGTCACATTTCTGACATGACTAGATCAGAAATTTGAATATGAATATGTAAGGTCAAAGAGCCCAAACTAATACAAATCACTAATCACCATTATGGTGACTTCAAAACAATTACAGCAGTACACATCTAAATTTCTCTCAGTGGCACAGTTAAAGACAACTTTATAATGTGAATTCACAGTAAAACAAGAGCAATAAATTACTGTGATGTTAGGCATCATTCTGCTTTCATTCACAGTCATTTGTAAGAAAATGGACCCCTAAAAAGTGTGACCAAAAACAAACAATTTTCAGTACAATAATATTTATACAAATAATAATTGTAATAACTGTAAGCAATTAATAAAACATAATTGCCCCAAAACAACACTAATGAGTTCTTCTATGAATGTATGCTTTAGTGTCAATTGCTTCTGTCTCTTCACATGATCCCTGACTCAAGTTAAGCTCAAGGAGTTGAGATGTCCATTTAGCAAAACCTTCATTCTGTTGTCAGTGAACTACTGTATGTTTGTGTTGATTTTGAGAAGATCCAAGCATGGCCCAATTTAAGCTTCCTGAGGTGTTGATGCAGTATCTGCTGGTACTTAATGGAGTTAATGATACCATTTATCCTAATTATTAATAAAAGCCCTGATTCCTCCTGCGATTGAGTCCTTGCCTCATCCCTTCATCCTCAACCCTGACAATTTGTGCATTATGCCTTGCAATGAAAATCAAATTCTAACATGAAAGCTTCAATTAGACCACTGAGTGCCAGGTTTTAAAGTCAGGATTGCTGTAAATATGTACCAGAGGTATGCAACAGGTCATGCATTCCCTGGGAATCGAAACCATGACCTCGACGTTGCTAGCGTGGGTTCTGTGTCAAAAGGATTTTTCTTGTGACTCAAGAGGAGTGTGCACATCACTCTGAACTGCTTGAAGTTAAAATGTCATTTTATGTATTTCCCAGCTCTCTTATGTCTTTGCAACACTAATGCCAAGGCATATTAGTGTTTTGTGCGGTACTGTCTAGTGTTCCTACGTCCTCTATAGGATTATATGGTTCTGGGGAGAACAGATGACCCCCATCTGTCTGACAGGCCTCACTCGAAACACACACGCCACGACAACGTCCACAGTACAGCTCTGCATTCAGTGTGTAATCAAGTCTGAGTCACGATACATCCAGATCACAGATGTGTGATCACTCCACACAGTTCATTATTAACTCAGTGAGCCACTAATTACAGACTGTCAGGGGTGAACAATGGTGCATGTCTCCTCACTGTGTCAGGCTAGTGATTCTCTATTGTTTTTCTCCGTTCTCATTTCAAAAAGTGCAGTAGAACTGTTTTTGTGTAATTAGCCCTTTAGAGAAACATTTCCTCCATAATGGATTTGCTCTTAACGTGACCCTTTACATTACATTTTCTGTGAAACCAGAGGGTAGTCTATTACTAGCAGTATTGTTTTGGCTCAGTCAGAGTGTACATTCATCACAGTTGTTGTGTATTTCTGTTGTTTGGTGAAAAACATGGTAGCACATAAGTTTAGGGAGCACATGTTCACTGCTGACTATGAGTTAGTTAGTAAGGTAGTCGTTAAGATTAGGATTAATGGATCTAGAATATGGTCATGCAGAGTAAGGCATTAATATGTGTTTTGTAAGTACTAATATACAGCAATATGTGAGTAATATGCATGCTAAAAAGCAACTAGTTAATAGTCAATAGTGTTCCCTAATCTAAAGTGTTACCAAAAACATTTACCCATCAACCCATGCGTCATACTGTAGTCTGGAGAGATGCAAAACTCTGCATATTCATGTTGACTTTAAAATCTATTTCATGAAGTTACTGAACCTCTCAGATTTAACTACAGTTACATGCCATTATGCATGTCTGCATAGATCAAATATGCATTGTATGTTTGAGTCTTTTTGTATCAAAGACAAAAAATTTAACCCATGCTACTTTGTGCTATAACACTAGCAAGATATTAATGTTTTTTTTTCTTTTTAGCGGGGAGAAATACAACAAATGAGGAGTTGGAGAGCATGTTAGAAAGTAACAACCCCTCCATCTTCACTTCAGGGGTGAGTGGATGTATAGCATCATATATTAGTACAGTAAAAATGTGCATTCTTTAAAGAAACAGACTGAGAAATGTGTAATAAAGTTATACAGTTTCTCAATGTATTGTACGTTTGTATTTTTTTTTTAATGTAAAAAAGTTCTCAATATTTAGATTTTTTTGCACCCTCAGATTCCAGATTTTCAAATAGTTGTATCTCGGTCAAATATTGTCTGATCCTAACAAACCACACATCAACGGAAAGATTATTTATTCAACTTTCAGATGATGTATACATCTCAATTTCGAAAAATTTACCCTTATGACTGGTTTTGTGCTCCAGGGTCACATTTGTGTTATTTAATTGTGTTATTTATTGAGTTTGCATTTCACTGTTTTTATTCATTTCTCAAAATACTGAATCTGTTTTTGTGCGAGTGAGATGAGTAAATGCATGTTGACATTTAGTCTAGATCGACAGTAACATCATGTTCACGCAGCGCAAGAATATAACACAATTTACAAATACGCTTATAGCCTTTGTGAATTTTATCTGATGGCAATGAATCTCTCACTTCTTTTTATTCCTTGGGTCCTACAGAATCGATAAGATACAGTTTGCGACAGTCTGCCTTTTTTTTCTGTTCCCTATTTTCAGTCCAAAACGTACTGTTTTAAACTCCTCGCAGACTGTTTGTCCGATTCTCACCAAATATCATCACCAGACCATTATTAAAGCACAAAGTTTTGTGTCTCAAAAGTACGCCACTTTTCCTCTTAGTTTATCGTGAGTGAGTAATGTTTGGGTTAATCAACCGAGTGTTCAGGATTACTGTCGCAATAAAAGATAAACCTGCTTTCTAGAGCACCCCGCAGTTGAGTTTTACTGGAAAGCAGCTTTGAGAAATGATGACTTTGGTGGGATGGGGCTCTAAGGAGGTCTAAAAATTTGTATTTTGTAAGATAGGAATTTTCAGCCAATCCCCTTCTCAGAACATCCTGCATTTTGTTGTTGTTGTTGTTTTTGCTCTCAGTAAAGCAGCCAGTGATTAAAGCAGAATTATGTTGGAAAACGTCCTCATTCTCACTTTCTGATTTTTGCTCCAGATCATCATGGACTGCAACATCAGTGAACAGGCCATGAATGAGATTGAGACGCGGCATAATGAAATCATCAAACTGGAGAACAGCATCCGTGAGCTGCATGATATGTTCATGGATATGGCCATGCTGGTGGAGAGCCAGGTGAGCTTCACTGACAGATGATTAAACAGCTCTGTGTCACTATCAATAACACAAAATCTGGAAACTGACCAGTGGATATCTATTTTTACAGGACATAATCAAACCCAGTTAAAATTGGGTTTAGCGTGACATGTAGAAGTGAGCCCTAGTCCTGCAGCATCTGAGACACTTGATCTGATGAATCACATTCACACTGTAAGGGAGAGACAAGAACTAAAACAGCGGTAAAGCAGTTGCAGTGTTTAGTCAGACTGCTTTCATGGGTGCGCAGTGAACCAGTCAGTCGGCTGGCAACTCAACTCACCCACATTATGGTAACTTCAGAACTCAGAAATGAAACGTAAAGTGTGGCGGCATCTTCAGTCGTCAAACAAACACAGTCTTCCAGTAGCTTCTGCACGTTTGAGCTCTTTGCAACAGTTACTGTATGATGTTGAGATCCATCTTTTCACACTGAGGATAACAGAGAGACTCATACACAAGTATTGATGCTCAAGAAGGTAGCAATGATTTAAGAGCCGAGGGGAATAAACTTGATGGTCAAGGTGAATTGTTCCTATGGTTTCTGGGAAACATGTAAATATCTTATGTAGCTTCGGAAGAGCGGAAGTAAATAAAAAAATAAGATCTTTAAACAAAATAAAAACAGTTTATGGGCCTGTTTACACCTGGTCACTTCATGCGTTTTTTCTGATCGGATAGCTATCAGATCGTGTAAAGACCAGGTGTAAATGCCCTCCGAAACACATTCGAGACGGATATGAATCCGATCGCTCAAACCACTTCAGGAGGTGGTCTGGGCCGCATTCCAGACGAAACTGGACAAGTGTAAATGCATCTGGTGGTTGAAACCACATATGTAAATTTTACACCTCCCAAAATGATAACATAATAAACGTGTGAGCGTGTTATAGGCTATATGGCATTAGTCAGGCTGCGCTAATGCAACACGCATCGCTGCGGACGAGTAGCTGAGTACCTCTTCAGCAAGCCGACGTGCAAACTGCCACGAATGAAGCTGAAAGTAAGACGCAGACGGTCAACACACACTCATCTTCATTAAAAGTAGTAAGACAAACTTATCTCTCCAGTGCTGATGCCGCGCGCTCTCCTATTGCGGTCTTTGATCTTAAAATGAGCTGATAATTAATCAAATGCAGCGCTTATCTTTTGATTTTGTTGACGTGAACTGAATAGAAGATCAGATTTATATCCATTTTGCGACGACACATTTATGTGGCCAAGTGTAAATGGAAACGTTTTAACAAATCAGATAGATATCCGATCAGCGAAAACGCATGAAATGACCAGGTGTAAACAGGCCCTATACCAGTCATCGAAGGGAAATTAACGAGACACAGGTGAACATGATGAGTAGCCAAGAAAACAAACCAGGGCATAAGAGCCAAGGAAACATGAACATGGGAACAGTGGAACAAAATAAACTTCAGAACAGCTATATTTTAGCAATATAAAACCCATGACCACTCCATTTGATAATTATTCTGTCCTGTCTTAAACAATCAGTGGCTCAAAAAAACAAAAACAAAATCAAGTCCCGTCCTACATTCTTTTCTCATTCAAGAAGCAGTTTCACTCATCTATACGTACTACAAAAGAAAAGACGTTTGCAATTTCCATTTCCAATTTTCTTCAATTTAAACATTCAAGCAAATTGAGCTCTCTTTTGTATCTTATCATGGTTGAACAGACAAATGCACACCAAATTACCATTCTGTCATGTCCTGAGCTGGCATCTATGCACTTCCTTTCACTGAGCCCTTTGAATTGTATACATGTTTTCGATTGGCCGTCATTGGAGATAGATGCCGTTTGCAGTCCGATGTAATTACAGCATCTACCAGCAGGGGCTAAAACTTTGACCCCCTGTACACCTTGAGCTCTATTTTGTTCAGTGCTAAATATATTTACTGCAGTGTGCCGTTACCCAACATATTCTCCATGAAAACAAGAAATGGTCACGTTCATTCAGTAAATAGTGTTTGGTGAGCTGTACTTTCCTGTTTTCTTTCAGGGAGAGTTAATAAACAATATAGAGAAGAATGTCTGCAGTGCACAGGAATATGTGGAAAAGGCCAAAGAGGAAACCAAAGCAGCTGTCAAAGTCCAGAAGACTAGCAGGACGGTGAGATTGAATCCATTAAACTCCTCTGAAATCACCTTTCTCTTTTTCTTTCCTCTTTCTCTTGGGCCGTGTCTCCTGCTCTGGTCAGGGAGATATGATAGACCGTATAGAGTATAATGTGGATCATTCAGTGGATTACATTAAGGATGCATTGTTAAACACCAAGAAGGCTGTAAAGTACCAGAGTAAAGCGCAAAGGGTGAGTGGAAGATATGTCAGTGCCTGCTGTCTGTCCTGCATGAGCTCATTTCTCGCCTTTTCCCATTCCCACTCCTTATAGTGTTTAATGGGAAGCTTTGTCTGTGTGCTGTCAACATTAATCTAATGCTCTCATTCTCAGTCATTGAGGTGCTGAATTCATTTACACAGAAACTATCCAATAATAGTTCACCCAAAAATGAAGATTTGCTGTAAATGTGCTCACTCTCAGTTCATCCGAGATTAGGATGAGTTTGTTTCTTCACCAGATTTGGAGAAATGTAGCATTACATCAGTGTCTCAGCAATGGATGCTCTGCAGTGAATGGGGGCCGTCAGAATGAGAGTCCAAACAGCTGATAAAAACATCACAATAATCCACAGCACTCCAGTCCATCAGTTAACATCTGGAGAAGACAAAAGCTGAAACTAATCCAGCATTAAGACACCTGCAACTTCAGACTGTTGCTTCCTTTATTCATAATATTGCGTTCTCCATGGAAAAAAGCATGCAGTGCAGCTGAGCTCCAGTCCCATTTTGTTCCACTGTAGAAGGAAAGGGTTTGGTACAGGAGAAACTGATGACTAGATTTTCATTTCTGGGTGAGCTAGCTAAACCTAGTTGTTAAGGTTTGTAATATGTTTAGTGCTGAGATATCATGAACTGAAGATCCCTGCAGTCCTCTCACTTTCTGTCCATATCGCCCACAGAAGCTGATCCTGATCGGCGGTTGTGTGTCCGTCTGTCTTCTCATCCTCATCATCTCTCTAGCCATTGGATTGAGCTAACCCAGTCACTCCGCTGTCTGCTTGTGACAAACAGGCGCTCAGGACCATCTGTTTGCATACTGTATTATTTGTGATATAGCCGATAGATTCAGTAGATTTTGTTTTTAAAAAAATCAGACATGCTGGGAAATTACATACAGACTAAGTGTGTTAAAGGGGTCCTATTATGCACTTTTACAAAGTCTTGATTTTGTTTTGGGGGTGTACTAGAACAGGCTCTCATACTAGGTTGTTCGAAAAACACATAATTTTTCACATATTTTACATTATTACAGCACCTCTCTCCCCAGTCTGGCACGAACGGCTCGAAATAGTTCCTGTATCAAATGAAGGCCCGCCTTCTGAAATACGAAATGTGTGTGTTATATTTGGCCAGTGTGTCTTGTGATCGGTTAGCTGGGCCAGTGTGTGTTGTGATCGGTTAGCTGGGCCAGTTTGTGCTGTGATCGGTTAGCTGGGCCAGTGTGTGTTGTGATCGGCAGCACTCGGCGCTTGGTCGGGAAATGTACCATAGCCGCCTGCGAGCTTCAGTGTAAATATTGCGTCAAAATCAAATCAATTTGAGCGCGATTTAAACCCGGATGATTGTAACCACTCTAAGTGTCTCCGACATAGTGATAACACTCGTTGCCTTCTCGAGTGCAGCTCAACCAGGTCTCGTCCCATTCGTCGATATTTGTGATATCACAAATCCCGGTAAATATGCGTTGTAGTGTAAACGAGTCGTTCGTTGTAGTTTTTGAAAAGTGATTTCTGTTAAATAAAATATCTCCTTTTGAATTGGACTTTGAGCTTTGTAACTTTGCAGATCTTTTTTATGCTCAAACAGCAACATTACAGAATAACTAAAGTTGAAAAAGTGAAAAAGCATTATAGGACCCCTTTAAATGTACTGAAAGACAAAATGAGATGAAATGGGCTACGATGTGCAGTGTCTAAAAAGTATTCACTTTCTGTAAAGTTATTGTTTTACATGTCAGTTGACTTTTTCTGATCAACAAAAGATTCAAAGAAGGCAGACAATACTATTACCGTGTGAATTTCAGCACAACACTTCCTTTTCAATGGTCAAAAAATGAGATGTAAGATTTAAGTAACTAAACATTTCATATTTGACAACCCTGAGTTACGAAATATTTATTGAAAGACAATAAATCCAGGAATGCAAGCAATTCAAAAGGAGACGTTTTCAGCATATTAGACATATTACTATACAATAAATTCTAGTTCTAAATTTCTACTGTTTTATATCCTACTCAAATATTGTCATTCCAGACCCAAATGCTTTTGTCATGGAATTCTGTTTTTACTTGTTTACTTTTTTCACTGACAGATGAAAATGAAAAAAGATTGACATGGTTTTAAAGCCTGCCCATTTGTGCCTTCTAGGCATCTTAAAATGCACTTATGTAGATCAGGGGAATCTAACATTTTCCCAGGACATATGCCTGCCAAACCCCTTAAGAAAGCTCATCTTTTCTAAACCTAATCTAAAACCCTGTGTACAGCCACGAACCCCAAGTTTTTTTTGCAGCGTTAATTTTCCTCATGGTCTAAGTTCTGCCTCAATGCTGAATCTTCCAGATAGAGGAGAATCTACACTGCAATCAGTGGCTAGACTTTGATTTATTACACACATATTTGTGATCCTGCAGCACAAAAGCAGTGTTAAGTCGCTGGGGTATATTTGTAGCAATAACAATACATTGTATGGGTCACAATTATGGCCAAAAATCATTAGGATATTAAGTAAAGATCATGTTCCTTGAAGATATTTTGTAAATGTCCTACCGTAAATATATCAAAACTTCATTTTTGATTAGTAATATGCATTGCTAAGAACTTCATTTGAACAACTTTAAAGATGATTTTCTCAATATTTAGATTTTTTTGCACCCTCAGATTCCAGATTTTTAAATAGTTGTATCTCGACCAAATATTGTCCGATCCTAACAAACCATACATCAATGGGAAGATTATTTATTCAGCTTACTTATTTATTAAATGTCGAAAAATGTATACTTAAGACTGGTTTTGTGGTCCAGGGTCACATATGATTGTCATTTAGCTATTTATGTCACTGATATGAAATCCATTTCTTGCAGCAGTGATATTTGAGGCGCTCCATTCTACTGAGGGTGAATACTTTTTATGGGCACTTTTTATGTCTTCGCCTCTGTTTGTGTTATGTACCGCTGTGTGTCACATGTCTGCTCAGCATTGTGGCATGACTGTAAATGGTAAACAGTGTTATGCATTTGCTACACTCCTTATGTTCAAAATGATGCCATCTTGCCTGGGTCTTCTACTTTTCATGCTGCCTGGAATGTTTTATCTTAAATTTAATTAGATTTTTTTTTTCTTGAACTCTTCCAAATGCAGAAGAAAATCATGATTATTATCTGTTGTGTGCTGCTGGGAATCGTTGTTGCTTCTATCATTGGTGGTGTGTTGTCCTGAATGACACACGTACAGTGTGATGTGTTTAGAGCAGATAATAAAGAGAATGTTTGTTTGTTTCATCAAACCTGAGCAAAAGTCATGTAGTGTATTCTAGCCTTTATTCTGGCTATTGTAGGTCATTGTATTTTTTCAAGAATTAAAACACAGGTCGCCTCTGAACAAAACAAAATGTATCATCTGTCAGTGTGATACTTTGAGGCTCTTTGAAGCAAACAAATTCTCTCAATCTATATAGCGATAAACAGAAAGCAGTGTGTGCCGTTATCATTAATGAGCCACTAGTCTTCTTTAAATTGCAAATAAAGATCTGTCTTTGTTTTATTCTGTTGTTGCAAGTAAAGTTCCAGTTTATTCACACCTCAGATTATTTCCAGATGTTTGTGTGCTTCATATACACGTGAATGTCTAAAGAAAACATGCATTACTCGATTTTAAAGTCCTCTAATTCATTATAAGTAAAGTGCTGTATAGACATGTTTCAGAGGACATCCTCTCCATCTGCTCTGCGAGTCACATTTGGAGTTTGTACATAAACATGCAGAATCGTAACTGCATCTTAAATGGCTTGACAAAAACATGAAAAGACAAAGAAATGTGGCACTAATGATAACAGTCAAAACAAGAGTACATGTTGACTGCCTCCATGCAATAAATTAACTTATTAAAATGATTAAGAATGTCCAGCTATGTTATGTTAAAGGTGACCTATCATGAAAATCTGACTTTTCCAGGTGTTAAGTGCTATAATCAGGTCCCCGGTGCATCTACCAACCAAGCAAACGTGAAGAAGATGAACCCAGTAACTTTGTTTTGGGAAGCCTTTTTCTGCAAGCGTCTGAGAAAACCAGCGCGTGCTGGGACAGCCGCTTTCTGTGCGTGTGCTTCGGATGTGTGCTCTCAGAAAACCCTATATCAGAAGTTTAAACTCATATGGTTTAAAACGCATGATTTCAGCGCGATAAACATGATATTCAGAACCAAAACAGATGTTTTTAGCAGGTCTGAGCTGTAATGGCGCAGCTCTATTCTGGAAAAGGGGGCGGGGAGCAGCAGCTCATTTGCATTTAAAGAGACAGCCCCGAAAAACAGCGTGTTTCTGCTTCCACTCAAAATAGGCATTTTCAAAATGATATAATAAATGATCTGTGGAGTATTTCGAGCTGAAACTTCACAGACACATTCTGGGGACACCAGAGATGTATATTACATATTGTAAAAAGGGGCATAATATGTCTCCTTTAAGTTAGCTTGTGTACTAGCTCACACTTTAAACTTGCCAATACTGTTAGCTCAAACTACGTTTTATGTTCCTCATTTTTAAGTCGCTTTGAATAACATAGTCTGCTAAATGAATACTTATGACTGGTTTTGTGGTCCAGGGTCACAGATTTTACAAATAAATTTACTAATAAATGACTATTTGTTGTAAATAATTATATATTTAGAATTTGTAAGTATATAATCAAATGTATAGCTAAATTAAGCTATATGTGCAATTATACATTCAGGATCTATAACTAGATTGGTTGGATTTCTGTCATTCTGCTAGTATGAATACATTTCTGGGCCCTTCAAAATATGTGATGGTGCGCATAATACCAGAGAACTGTGTCTTGCATAATAAGCAGTTCTTATTGTTTATCGTAGAGCAACACCTGTTACACTCTCCTCGGGCCGGAACGACATTTGAGCAAATTGTAAAGTGTATATTGTAGTTAGAATTTGAATTAATTTAATTTATTTATTGCCCATACTGCAAAAAATATATATTTTCAAATATATAATTTATTCAGGAGACCCATTCACCGGTAAAAACAGTCAATCAGCAAAGCAGATTATGTCTTCATTAAACTAGAAAAGCAAGTCTAAGCAATACTTGTACTAGGCAGACTATTTGACTATCAGTTGCTTGGGTTTTTTGCACACATACAGTACAAAAACCACGGTCTGTGGGTCACACTTAGCCCCGAATACTGCTCCAAATCAGTCATTCAGGATTATGAGGGTTTGCTTGGGTTAAGTGGGCTGTGCTTTGGCTTTTATCAGACATGGGAAAGTCATACACTCGACAGCACTGGAAGTGTGGATATTTGGGCAGGGCAAATCTTGTAGTTCTATAGTTGCAAAATAAGGTGGATAATATCTTACAATTTATGAGTAGATTGACTTTTATTTTATATATTTTGACGCCTGGCGCGCAGGAAATGCGTCACAATCTCCGACATCGCAACACAAATAAATATGATCAAAACATCAACGAGGAGCGGTAACTGGTTATTCGTGATCTTTTAAACTCGCTGGGAAGAGTAAAATACATCCAGATAAAGCTGTTTTCGGTATTCACCTCTGTACGAGAAGTGTGACACGTAAGACAGAACGCTGTTATTGTTATTAACACTTTGAAGATCTTGTTTATGAACTAATTTTTTTAGCATGTACAATAACACTTGGTATTTCTGTTAATTCAGCGTGATTTATTTCATTGTGAGCACACGGCAGTTTTCAGGAGACGCCTTTTCTTTTCAAGAATGATAATAATATACTGTGGTACTGAATAATGACTTGTTTTTTGATGTACCGTGGTTTTAACGCAACTGATAGGACTCAAGTTGCAGGAAGAGTCTGTTTTAAAACATAATAATAATACCATTTTTAAGTGTCACTGGGTTTTATAAATGTAGATGCAGCGTCCTCTGAATCCTTTAACAGCACTGACTGACAGATCTTGTCTGTAGAGAAGTCATTCAAGCATGGCACTGTATTATCTGCTGAATATGTTATATTTGTCTTTATGCAGGTTACCGACACAAGCCGGTTTGTTTCAGTGCAGGATGAACGCTCAGGGGGTGCGCAGGGGCTTCAGCGTCCAGCAGTCTGACCTGATGTGTAAGAGAGGATGCGGTTTCTACGGTAACGCCGTCTGGCAGGGCCTCTGCTCCAAATGCTGGCGTCAGGAGAACCAGTGCACCCGAGCCAAGCAGATCGAGGACGACAGAGCGCTGGCCGAGAGGTGAGTGACGGTTCGTCTTCTGCTATATTTCACTCTCCTGTGGTCAGCTGCTGTGTGTCTGTCAGGCTCCAGAGAGAGGAGGAAGCTGTGTACGCCAGCAGCCGTGAGGAGGCACGTTCACGACCAGAATCCTCCAGAACACACACTGTGCCCATAGTGAAGAGGTTTTCACCTCCGCTCCCAAAACACCTGCAAGGACAGGTACGACCTTGAGTTTACAGTGCGTTACACATAGGTCATGGAAACCTGAACATAGAATAAAATCGTAAAAATGCATTAAAATTTCCATTGTGTATATATATATATATACAGTATATATATATATATAGTTGTGAGTGCAATCCCTAACAGGGTCTTAAAAAGTCTTAATCCGCCCTTCCAAAAATTTAAGACCATAAAGGGTCTTAAATCAGAGCAGAAAGTCTTAAAGGGATAGTTCACCCAAAAATGAAAATGTGATGTTTATCTGCTTACCCCCAGGGCATCCAAGATGTAGGTGACTTTGTTTCTTCAGTAGAACACATTTGATGATTTTTAAGTCCAACCGTTGCAGTCTATCAGTCGTATAATGCATGGCAATGGTAACAAAATCTATGAGAGTAAAAAAAAACATGCACAGACAAATCCAAATTAAACCCTGCGGCTCGTGACGACACATTGATGTCCTAAGACACGAAACGATCGGTTTGTGCCAGAAACCCAAAAGTATTTATATATTTGTTTACCTCTAATACAGCACTATGTCCAACTGCCTTGAGCGCGCGCACGGCATCCGGTGCGTGAGGTGTGTACGCGTTCTGGCGTAGTTTATGTTAATGTGTGTGTTGATATCCAGCCGAAGAGCAATCAACCATAACTTCAGGCGAGCAGGCTCAGAAGCTGGGAATACGTGGAAAGTCACCACTCCTGAATGAGTTCGCGCGAGAGAACGTAATCTTTTAGTTTTAAGTCAGTTTGAACAATCCGGATAAGCGCAAGTAAGTATCATTTTGATTAGCCGTCGTACCTACAATGACTGTGCACTGTAATCTTCTTCTGCGTTATTGTCTTGTATTCATATACAGATATCTAAACATCTTTACATCACAATACATTTACAGTACTTGAGATGCAAACACGAAACCTTGTTTCCTGAGAAACTGAACAAAAGTAAGTGAGTCTATGCATGAAGCAAGGACAACAATCTATCATTGGGGAATGAAAACTTGTTTTCACTTTGAATTAAGCAGTTTTTCTGAGGCAGATATTTGTACTTGTTTTAATCATAAACTCACCAGTTTCTCAGAAAACAAGACTCCTTATGTAATTTAGCTTTCGATTTAAAACTTTGCTGTGCTGCTAATACAATTTATTGTTTGCTCCCAAGGCGTTTACGTTTAGAGAGCATATTGACGTATTGTGTTCTATTCAGTATATTCCTTAAATGTTCTTTACTTGGTCTTAAAAAGTTTTAAATTGAACTTCAAATCCTGCAGAAACCCTGTTTAAATATCCTTGTGCAGTAATCATGAACGACTGGAATATATATTCAAAACAGACAATAATTTGCAATAGTCCCTCAGTTTGGTTTTCATTTTTATAATTGAATTGATTTCCTTTAAATTGGCAGAAAATACCTTCCATAAGTTTGTAGAGATCATGTTTACAGTAATGCACTTGCAGTGGGAGTATACAGGGCCAATTCTTTCTCTCTTTCTTTCTTTCTTTCTTTAATAAGAATAGCAAATTGTGAGACCCACAATATCGGATGTGTGTGTAGAGTTCAGTGAAATGCAGCATCAGCAAGTTTTAGTCTTTTCTGGGCACAGTGCAGTAGCATTGCACACACTCATGCCATTAAGCTCAACCTCAGAAAAAAACGAGAATTTCAGCAATTCCAGAGCTTTCAGTCATGTGACGGCGTTTGTACATCTCGCTCTTGTTCTCGCACAGATGCAGGAGCTCCAGAGACAGCCGTGAGCACCTCGCTCAGCCGACAGCCCAGTGCAGAGCGTGATCATGTGACACAGCGCTTCATTGACTTCCTGAAGCCCTTCCAGAGACCTGGATATGACATTTTTGAACAGTGCCACGCCTTCTTTGAAAATATTGCTCACGAAAAGGTGAAAAACTAGTATGCTGATATTTTCCAGCATCCATGCTTCGGAAGCAATAAAAGCTGAATTTTGTATTAGATCGCAATTTGCACAATTTTTTAATAAAAAGATTAGTAACTGAATGGTTTTTCTTTCTGCTTGCGCTGCAGGTGGTGAGGATTTCTCAGACTCTGTGCAGGATTTCTATCAAAACATGTTGGAGTACTTCCAGACCAACTTAAAACGTACAACATGCAAAGTCAAGTTTTTTGTTGTTTTCGTGTAAATAATGAATCGGAGAGACCTATTCATTTATAAGATTTACTGAATTGACTGTATAAGGGGTTGGCAACCTTTTGTCTTGATTTTTTTGACATTTTTGTCATGAAGTGCCATTTTTAATTTCTCTAGTTAAGTCAGAAACT